TCCATCATGCATGGAGCCGTACTCCATCTTCATTAATCACCATACCGCGCTTGGTGTGGCACTCATGACTTGTGGCTGTGACCTTGCATGTGAAGCACTCAATTTGGCCTGTCTTGTCGGTTGAGTCCCTTGTAGAGTTGGCACTTGGTCTAGGTCGGAGCCTTGTAGAGTTTGGAGGTGTGGGACTTGATGTTATCACCGGTGCCTTGGAGCTTGAAGGAACACCACTTGTAGATGTGTCTCATTAGTATGGCAACGTACTTGAATTTGTTTGAGAGTTGGAGGCTAAGTTCCTCGAAGGGGAGGTGAATAACTTGGAGTACTTGACGTTGTCTTGGACTTGTCTCTCCGCTTGCGTTGGTTGGTGAACCAACTCAGACAAGTTGTTGTAGGGTTGGAAATCCGCAATCCTCTTGATGGGATGGTTGAGCTCACTGCGAAAATGAGCCATCGTCTTGGAGCTTCTTGAACAGGTCATGAGTATAGTGCGTGGGTTTGAATCTCACTCTCATGACTTATTTCATTGCATCCCAAGTGGCAATGGGGGCTTCTTTGCTTTCTTGTCAAAGTTGTTGAACTTGTTCCTACCACACAAGTGCGCACTCATCAGACTCAAGGGATGACATGTCGATCTTCTTTGGGTCTTCAAAGTTGTGGACTTGGAAGATATGTACACTCTTTTTCATGGTCGATGTGGCCGAAGAACTTAGTCATTGTAATTTGACCTTGCCAAAGCGCTCTTCTCCTTGGAGGTTACGAGGTTGACAATGCTCCTGTCGATGAGGCGGTGGGTTGTCTCGGTCTTCATATCGGAGGTGGTGCTCGATGCGTGGTGCATTGGCCATGAAGTGCACTTCATTTTATTGTTTAAGACGAGCCTCCTCCACTTGTCATGCTTCACAAGCTTGACAGGTTTGCTCCGTGTATTGCCTTGCACATGTAGAGCTTGGTGCGCTTGGTCGCTTGTTCGACGCGGCGAGCTTCTTCTTGCAGATGAGCATCGTGCTCTTGTAATTTTTGTTTTTCGGCTTTTCAAACTTGTTGCGCATCATCACACTCTTCATTGGCGTGTTGCTCTTGAGCTTCGTGTTTTTGTCGTTCATGATCGAGAATGTGGTCTTGTAACCAATTGCCATGATGAGGAGGTGGAACCTCAGTTGGGCTCTTAGTCTTCATGGTGGTGGTGGCGTCGCGATCGGTGTGAACTTGATGATGATGGACATTTGGAATGGTGTGCACTTGAATGTCTTCTTGAAGAGGATGAAGAGGACTTATGGTTGTGGAAAATGTTGCAGAACTGTGTGTTCAATTTGGTGTCCGAGTAGTTCTTGTTATGAGTTTTGGCTTCTCGCATGTCAATGGGAAGGCGTGTGATACACCCATCCAAGATTGCATTGGCGTCATGCATAGCTCGTTGAGACCGATGTGACGCCTTGGAGACATAGTTGTGTGATTCTCTTGATCATCATAATACCGGATGAGATGTCCTTTTCCTAGTTGTGACACCCGCGCAAGGTGTGAGACACAAAGGAAAATGAACAACACCAAGTTACCTCTTTCTCATGCCGTTGAAGAATCAAATGACCTCAAGATTGTCAATGCAAAATGAGCGAGACTTGGTAGTGTTCTTTATCCGAAAGCGTATACACCTGAACACAAGGCTTTATATGGAGCTTGGAGGGGTTAGTGGCTCAAAATCATGCAACAAGCAGATCAAGATATTGATAAAGTCGGGTAAGATCCAAGTGATCGCAAATGAGATACATGTAGATTACAAATGTAGATGAATGAGCAAGAGAAACATGCCACACAAAGATAACGGGTTAGTGCAACCAAAGGAATGAGCAAGACAAAAGTTCCTAACAAAGACTAATGCTCATGTTGCACAAGCACAAAGAGAGATGCTAGCTTGATTGCATGTTTGGGCCATATACGGGAAACTTGGCACCAACCTTCGATGACAAGCGTAACATGTTCCTATCTGATACATCCTTTGCACAAGTATTTGCTGCTCTAACTCTTTTGCTTATAAGTTCTTTGTACCCTTTTCTTTCTCCTTTTGTTTACTTTTTCTTCCTTTTCACCACTTCTCTTTGAGCCTCGACCAAATATGTGAGACAATTATCACGGGAGATGCAAGGAGTAACTATAACACGTAGAGGGTAAAGTAGGTCTCTAGGGAATGGAAAGGTGCCGGACTGTCCGGCCAGATGTCTTGTTGCGCTCGGTTTGAATCAGACAGGTGCCGGGTTGTCCGGGTGCACTTGGTTGGCCCTGGATTGTCCAGCCTTAATGTGGCCAGATTGTCTGGCCTCCTGGCGGGAGGAGCCTCTTCTTCTCTACTTGTTCTTCTTGCTCCTCTTCTGTGGTTTGGCCTTCCTTGTTCCTTCGCACTAGGTACCCTTCTGCCCGAGTATGCAAAGGGTCTCAGATTGAGGTAGTAGCCATGTCTCACATGAGTGAATATGGAGCTCGAAGAGGAGTGAGGTAACCTTGGTTTGTATAGCTCATGCACGTTCTCCTGTAATTTTGGATTTGATGGGGGATCCACGGTGATGTCCATGGGATGCTTCACGTCACTTCTCCTCTCCTTGCAACCTAACTAGCCCAATAAGGCCCATTATGGAACCCTAGCTTGCCAACCTAGTCTAAAACGTCTATATGTCCTAATCCAAACTGTCCATCTGCTCTCCTCTATCTCTTTCTCTCCCTTGCTCCCCTTCCTGCTCCGCTTCTCCTTCCCCCCTCCTTCCCTGCTCTGCTTCTCCTCTCCAGCCGTTCTTGCCACCAGAGTACCTCGCTGGCTGCCTAACCCACCTCCCTCAGGGCCAAAGCGAGGCGTTTTGCCTCTTAATCAGCGTGCCCGGGCGTGCCTACGTGAGTGACTAATTTTTCACAGAGATTGCTAATCTATGCAGTTACTAGTTGAGATAAAGTTCTTAGATGAAACAAGCATGATATTATGTTATGGCGCTGCTAGAAGGAGGCGCGAGAGGGCCGGCCGAGGACCTTTTGCCCACGGCCGGGCAAGATGGAAGGGATTTCCTTCTTAATTCTTGCTTTATTAGATTGATACATCTCCTCTCTTTATATAGAGAGGTTTACTTGACTCCCAAGCAAGGTTTACTTGACCCCTAAGCAAGCGACCCTTCTCTAATTAACCCTAAGACTAACAGGCTATATTGCCAGCCCAAGCCCATTACGTACTCTTAACACTACACCCCACCTGGACATGCAGCTTGTCCTCGAGCTGCAGCCTAACCAACTTATAACCATGACTCGACACAACACAAACCTAACACCTAAAAACAAGCCTTTTACATCTCGGCTTGTTTTATTACTCTCAACCTGAAATGGACTGGGATGCTTTATTTTGGACCCCTTAACAAGAAGTGGACACCATCCGCACGTCGGACGTGCACGTGTACAACCACCTGGATCCCATGGACACCATCTAGACAAAAGGAGTGCATGTGTATGGCCACTTGGAAGTGGTCGCAAGAGCGACCAGTAGAGGCGCCCTCGCGGCGGCCGGCGAAATGCAGTGGTGCTACGCGATGTGCTCCTGTCGGTGACACCCTGCCTTCTCCCCGCCGAACGGCCGTTGGTCTGCACCGCACAGAGAAGAGTGGAGGGCTTGCGATGGAGAATCATGAGGAGGGGTATGCCCCCCCCCCCAACCGCCGATGTCGCAGACTTTGAGGTCGCTGCCCGCGGGGAAAACAACATGCCCAAGATCCCCGACGCAGCGGGCGAGATCGAGGTCCTTTGTGCAGCGAAGCGCAGCTGGGAGGAGCGGCAGCTGTAGACCACGCATCTCCCGCACACGCCGACGCGGTAATGGCGACGGCGGGAACTTGATCTGGTGGATTAGGACTCCCGCCGACGCGGTCGATGCGGGGCCGGAGCTGACTGGCGGTGGCTGCTGCAGCGGAGCGCCGGGCGCGGCGGAGGCCGCCAGGAGCGGCGACTGCCACTGTAGCGAGGGCGGGGCGGTGGTGGCGGTGGATGGCAGCTGCAACGGCCCGGCGAGCGCGGAGAGGACGCCCTGGGGCAGCGGCAGTGGCTGCTGTGGCAGAGCGCCGGGCGCGGCGGTGCTGCCATTGCAGCCAGGGCGGGGCGGTGGATGGCAGCTGCAGCGGCCCGGCGAGCGTGACGGAGGCCACCTGGTGCAGCGGCTGCCATGGCAGCCACGGCAGCGCGGTGGTGGCGATCGGCGGCGCAGCCGGGTGCGGCCCGTAGGACCTGGCCAAGAACAGGTGGATCTCCTGGACCGCCTGGGTTAGGTCCCGCAGCGCCCCGGACACCTCCTCCGGGGTGAGGACGGCGGGGGCGGGCGAGACGGAGGATCCCGACGCGGGCAGGAGCCGGGCGACGGTCGTGGTGGTCGCCGATAAGGTGACCGGCAGCAGAAGAGACGGGTTGGGCGGCGGTGAAGACATGATCAAACCAAAGCTAGCTGATACCAAATTGTTATGGCGCTGCTAGAAGGAGGGCGCGAGAGGGCTGGCCGGGGATCTTTTGCCCACGGCCGGGCAAGATGGAAGGGATTTCCTTCTTAATTCTTGCTTGATTAGATTGATACATCTCCTCTCTTTATATAGAGAGGTTTACTTGACTTCCAAGCAAGGTTTACTTGACCCCTAAGCAAGCGACCCTTCTCTAATTAACCCTAAGACTAACGGGCTATACTGCCAGCCCAGGTCCATTACATACTCTAACATGTTACAATACTGGTTATAAAATATGTTGTCATTATACTCGACAAACTATGTTAAGCAGATATTTTCCAAACGCGGTTTGCTCCATCTTAGTCCTGATTTTGAATGTATTTCTGTGCACGATATAATTATAATTTATGTACAACAAAACACAATCTGTTTTATTTGTATTAATTTATTATCTGATAAGAGTACTTTCCTGAGAACATCAGCATAATACGTCCACGTTTTTGTTTATGCATCTCAGAACTTACTATTTCCTTCAAATTTGTAATGCAGGAGTGTGAAGAAGTCAGAGAATGATGTACCTGTTCCACCTCTTCTGAAAACTTCTGCTTTGTGGGGTAAGTGATGCTTTACCTTAGCCAGATTATACATTAAATATTGAAATAAAGTTCACATACTCTGTGAGGTTTGACCACTTGACTATTTAGGCCATGTCTCATGTAGCGCCGGTTCGAAGAGAAAAGGCTGATTTACCAATGGTTGAGCTTTCTCTCCAATGTATAGATGTGCTATTCAACCAACGATGGGACCTACAACAAAAATAAACAATTTTCTGTTTCCTGCTAGTGCGAACTGTTTTGCATGGCCATCGTGATCCTCTGGTCAGGTTTTTGTACCTTGTCACACAAACATTATTTAAATAGATAAGAACCGAACCAACTTCTTGGTTCACTTTGTACTTCTAACACATTGGGTCTGTTAGGAAATACTCCCTCCGTCCAAAAATAAGTGTCTTAACTTTGTACTAGCTTCAGTATAAAATTGTACTAAGCTTAAGACACTTATTTTGGGACGGAGGGAGTATGAACTTGTATTTTCAGGTGGCCATAGACCAGTATATATATACATGTACATGTGTGGTACAATATGCAGAAAACCCCCTATAGAACGGGGAAAATAAAAAGTGGTACACGGATAAATATATACGACTCTAAGACCACCCCCTCTCAAACTCATGGTGGATCAACAACACTGAGTTCGGAGAGATAGAAGCCGTGCTGTGCTGTAATCTGGGCCTTCGTAAAGAAATCCGCCAACTGTAACTCAGAAGACGCATAGTGAAGAGCAATAATATGATCCTGCACACTAGCACGCACAAAAGAAGCATCAACACCAATATGTTTGGTGAGCTCATGCTTCACAGGGTCGTGTGCAATACTTATAACACATGTGTACAATAGCATAGTAGGTGTAGTGACACAAACACCAAACTCCTGAAGTAACCACCATAACCAAGTCAACTTTCCAGTCAAAAGAGCCATAGCTCATAATCCAGCCTCTGCACTTGAACGAAACACTGCAGTTTGTTTCTTCATCTTCCACGTAATGAGAGAGCCACCAAGAAAAACACAGTAAACAGAAAGTGAATGGTGATCCGAGGGATCACTGTCCCACGTAGCATCCGAATAGGCTTGAAGCTGTAATGGACTGGAACGAGGAAAAAACAGACGGTGAGAGATCGTGCCATGAAGATACCGGAGAACACGAAGAAGGTGACTATAGTGAACCGAAGTGGAAGCAGAGACAAACTGACTCGAAATATGTACATGATAGATATCCGGACGAGTGACAACTAGATAGATAAGACTCCCAACAAATTATGATAACGCGTTAGATCAGACAAGGGGTCATCGTCAGTAGCATGGAGGTGAACATCATTAAGAACAACACAAACAAGAAGATCCTGGATATACTTCTCTTTGGAAATAAAAAAAGCCATCAGATGTCGAAGAGGCCTCAATCCCAAGAAAGTAGTGAAGAGGGCCTAGATCAGACATAAGAAACTGCCCACTAAGACGTGCCTTCACAAAGGCAATGTACTCAGGACATGTCATCAGCATATAAAAAAGAGTCCGACCATGAGTAGGAAGGGGGACAAACAACGCGGGAACATGAGCACTTGCTGAAAAACCAGCGGTAGTCACCATAGAGGCAAAACGCTGAAACCAGGCGCGAGGTGCTTGCTTAAGGCCGTAAGAGAGCGACGAAGATGACAGACCATGTCGTCAGGAACAAAATACCAAAGTGGTGGCTACATGTAAACCTCCTCACACAACTCACTACTAAGAAAGGCATTCTTAACATCAAGCTGAGACAGACTAGTGGCGAACAGAGGCCACGACAAGAAGTGTGCTTATAGTGGTCAAATGGCCACATAAGAAAGGCATACTTAACATCAAGCTGAGACAGACTAGTGGTGAACAGAGGCCACAACAAGTGTGCTAATAGTGATCACATGGCCACATGAGCAAAAGTCTCATCGTAATCACAACAATGCTCCTGCTGAAAGCTCGAGCCACAAGATGAGCTTTTGTAGTGCTCAAGAGAACCATATGAGTGAGTCTTAACCTTGTAGACCCACTTAAAAGTGTTGGCACATGGAGGAGGAGAAACAAGATCCCACGTGTTGGTGCGCTCAAGAGCAACAAGCTCTCCTGCCATCGCAAGTTGCCGTTCGGGATGAACAACAAACATCATGATAAGAAGTCGGCTCAAGAACAACAACGCCGGTGTTTGGAAAACCAAGGCGATCAACAGACTGAATCAGATGAGGATGCAAGCCATAAGTAGGCTAAGACAAGGAAGATGACACATCAGAAGTAGAGGGCGCATCAGTAGACGCATCCACAATACGTGGACTACGAGTATAAGAGTGAGGAAGAGATGGAAGAAAAGGAGGAATCACTGGGATAAACTCAGGTGATGGAGATGGGGAAGCTACTCGTGATGAAGGTGCAGGATCTTGTGATAAGTGAGGTGAGGAAACCATAGGAGATGGTGTCGGATCTGCAATAGTCGGAGAAGTAGGAGCAGTAGGGCGGATGGACAAAGGGCTCAACAAGAGTGATAGGAGTGTCAGGAAAAGTGAGAAAAGAGATATCCTCCACTAGAAAGGCTGATGAAGATGGACGCGGGTAGAAGGGATGAGACTCATCAGAAGTTACATCCTGACAAATACGCATCCGACGACTGATAGGATCCGAACAACGATAGCCCTTATGCTCATCACTGTACCGTAAGAAGACCACTTGACAAATCGAGGGTCAGTTTGGTGTGGTTTGTTCACGAGGGGCAAGAAGAACATAGCAAACACAACCAAACAGACGAAGCGCTGATTAATCAAGAGAACTAAGAAAAAGACGCACGAAAGCAACGCCTCCTTGCAGAACATAACAGTGGATGGCTGAAGGTTGATGAGATAGGTGGATACAACCTCGGCTCAAAAGGGAGGTGGAAGAGAGGTGACGATCATCAACGCATGAGCCATCTCAAGAAAGTGACGATGCTTGCGCTCAACCACGCCATTCTTAGCATGAGCACCAAGACAAGAGAACCGAGCAAGAGTGCCCTGCTCAGCAAGAACTCCAACATCTTGCAGGTATACTCTCTAGCAGAGTCAACACGGAACACCCGAATAGGCGTAGAGGACTTAGTGTGAACCATGGTAGCAAAGCGCTTATATAGTAGATAAGACCTCACTACGAGAAGACATAAATTATATCCGTTATGTTGAGAGAAATCATATATAAAGATAATATTAGTAGCGATGATCTCCTTTCGAGGCAAAGGGAGCTTGACCCTAGACATCAAAGTGAACAAGGTCGAAAGGACGCTGAGACACAGTCTCGCTATGAGGATAAGTAACTGTATCTGTTTACCGAGCCGACAAACAGTCTAAGGGCACACGGCCGGGGGCTGATCCAAGAAGACCATGCCTAACTAAGAATGAGAGATGAGAGCCACACAAGTGACCAAGGCGATGATGCCACTGCTGAAAAGAGCTGTAGACAAGGCAACAGAGGCGGAGAGACTGGCGATGGTGGCAACAGAGGAAGGTGAAACCAGTCATGCTTCCACATGCCCTGGAAGTCACGGAGCCGGGGGACGTACCTGCTTCTATAGAGGGTGGTCCTCACAATGCCAGAAGTGTCGGTAGCAAAACCAGTAGAACCTGTCCTTGGAGAACCATAGGATGCAGGTACCAGGTATCAAAGTTATGTAATCTCCTGCTCAATATGGGGCTCAAGTAAAGACGACGACGTAGATGCACCCGACAGTGGAGAACCAGAGACAATCACCAAATCGTGAAGGCACGCAATCTCTTGATCAGTGAAGGACATAACTGAAGTAGTTGACCTAGGCATCACGTGAAGAGGAGCGACCACCACCACCTGTGGAAGCTGCTAGAAGAGGCAACTGCTAGAGGAGGTGGTGTTGTATGACAAGTATTGTCTGCAGAAGTCGATGAAGGAGACGATGTCACATGTAGACAAGTACCAAGCACCAAGGGAAGGTGTCGAAGTGTAGTCAATGGAGCCGTATGAACCAACACTGCCAGTAAAAGTCGCGGGAGGAGTCGGTGTAGAGCGACAGTCACCATGCGCAGAGGTCATGAGAGGAGTCGTAGAAGAGAGACCATGACGACCGCCTGTAGAAGTCGGTGTAGAACGACCAACAAAATTTGCAAAAGACGTCGAAGGGGACGACGTCACAGGCGGACAAGCACCAAGCACTGAGAGACGACACATGTGTGAGACAGGAGCAGTGTAGGGAACACCGTCAAAAATCAGCGGGCAGCAAGGGAGATGTGTATCCGACGAAAACATCTTGCCCGTTTTTCTTTTCTAGTGGTCAACCCAGCGGAATCAACCTCAGAGAAGTTCTATCCCACCACGACGTGGGCTGCTCGGGGAAGAGTCTCAAGAACGATGGCCGGTTGGTGCTACAGCAGACAGCGCATCCACAGAGAGCTGTAGGGAAGCCACACAAGAGATAGGGCAGTGAGCTGGCTGGCTGGAGAGAGCCGTGCTATAGCAGGCAGCGCAGCCACACGAGAGACGGGATTCGGCGTCTCACGGCCCGGATAGATGGTTGTTGACTTGCAGGAAACGTAGGGTGGTTGGCGACCTGGAGCTCGTAGGAACCAGTGGATCGGGCGTGGACGGGCAGGCGGTAGTGGGAGCACACGGGGCCAGCAACCTGGGTCGGCGTTGACCCAAAAGAACAATAGATGGGCAGGCGGTTGCACGAGGGAGCACGCAGGGCCTAGCAACCTTGGTCGGTGTTGACCCAGAAGAACAATAGCTGCAACACGTTGTAGAAGATGCAGGCATGTGTGGACAGGGGAGGCAACAACTACCAGCCAGAGAAGTGCGGTAGCGCGAGCAGCGTCAGACCAAAAGGAGGAAGGCGACGACGCGAGATTGGATAGACAGGAGCATGAGTTGTGCATGCGAAAAAAATTCCCGTGCCTCTAATACCATGTTAGGAAATATGCAACTTGTATTTCAAGGTGGCCATAGGCCAGTATATATACACGTATATGGGCGGTACAATATGCGGGGAAAATACAAAGTGGTACACGACTAAATATATACAACTCTAACAAGATTGGCACGCTCCATTGTATGGAACCAATTCTCGTCTTCGGATCGCTTTTTCCTCACACTAGAGATGGCCTTAACCCCCTGAAAGTTAAAATCGGATACCCTATCTTAAGGAATATTACTGTAGGATCTAAGTATATCGACCAGAGGAGGGTGAATGGGACATTCAATTTTTCTTTCGAAGAAATCTCTCAGCACAGCACAACAGAAAAACTTAAACAGATACAGTTCTACTGAAGGTAAACTACTGAAATAAATGATTACGAGGGATAACTAAGATACTCCATCCGAACTAAAGCCACGACACTTATTTTTGGGACGGAGGGAGTAGACTACTGTGAGATAGTCATGAGAACTAAAGCTAGAAGGATGACTAAGTAACAATTGATGAAGAACATACGAACATAGAGACAAATTACATTCAGTACAGAAAGATGAAAAACAAAAACAAACATATTGCAGTACAGATGAGAATGCTAACAGATTCACAGATGAACATAGCAATGAATATCACAGCAGAAACAGTACCGAAGAAAATGTGGTAGAGAAAGAACCAGTTTGCTCGACGGTGACAAGTAATTTGAACTAAAGAACCAGTAATTTGATCTAGGGGTAATGAGGAATAGACTCACCGACAAGTGCCTCTCTCCTGTATTATTAGTTTTATTTTGTCTATTTGCTGAGTCACCTGGCACATGCCACATCACTCCACATGGCAATATCACTCTCATAACCATATCAGAGAATAAACGATTTTGTACAGTTTGGGGATAGGATATCCTGTTTTACTTCCTCTGTTCCAAAATAATTGAAGTTCTAGGTTTGTCCTAGTCAAGCTGGTGTAAGTTTAACCAACTCTATAGAAAAATGTGCTAGGATCTATAACACGAAATACTCATAGTACGAAAATATATTTTATAATGAATCTCATGAGACTATTTTGTGTTCTAAATGTTTTTATATAAACTTGTTTAAACTTAAACAAGTTTGACTTAGGACAAACCTAGAAACTTCAGTTATTTTGGAACAAAGGAAGTATTAGTGTATATATAATCCTCTATTACGGTGCTGTATATGAAAATACAGAAGTTTTTTAAAGAATGTATTTTGCTAAATAGAAGATCGATAATATAATGAAAATAGATCACACATGAGAGTTTATTTACTTATAACCATTTGTTGGATCAAGGCAACTTTTGGCAAAAGTGGACAACAAAGAGAAGAATTTGAATGCATTTTTTACTTTGATGAATACTATGCACTTCCTAGGTCTTGTGGTTGAATGTACTGTTACTGTCAATAGGTGATTTGGAATCTTCGAAGCTGATTACTATGTATTGTGTCTTTGATTTGAGCATCTCTTAAAATAATTGTACAAATATGATACATAATTACTCCCTCCATTGCAAGTCAATTGAAGTTCTAGCTTTGTCAAACTTCTTTAAGTTTGACCAAATCTGTAGAAAATGTATCAACATGATATACCATTTTTCTACAAACTTAAAGAAGTTTGACTTAGTACACATCTAGAACCTCAATTAATTTGGAATGGAGGAAGTATTTGATGTGCTTGTTTATGTGAAGTTATTTTAAACACATGATGTGAGGGTACAATTTCTATGTTTACAATTAGTAACATGCTTTTCCTAGTGAAAACCATAGTAGTTTCGCTCAGAAAATTAAATTAAAGCTACAGTAATTATGGTAACAGCAACTTGAGCTGGATAGCTCGTATCATCATGTAATTACTTAGCAATATTTTGGTAGTAAATTACTTTTTCTAATCTAATCGATGCTAGTTGGATATATCAACATCATAGCCAAATGCATGATGCAAATAATTTTATCTATTTATTTTTGTAAAACATGTGTCCTGCTAAATTGCATCAAATGAAGCTACGTAAATATAATCTTCCTGATTGTTTCAGGTGTGTTCCTTGGTGTCTCGTCCAACACCCGTTATCAGGTAATTAATGGTCTTGAGCGGTTGGTTGAGGCTTCGCCTCTTGGCAAGCGTGTCCCAGCTGCTTCTTTGGCATTCACTGTCAGCGTGCGCTTTGCAAATAACGTCTATGGAGGAATGCAATTTGTGGATTGGGCCAGAATGAGTGGTTGTCAATGAGGTGTATTGCATCCATGTTTTTCATGGTGAGTTCAGTTTTATTTGTTCACATATGCGTGCACGGCATTTCAAACACAGTGGTCCTTTCACTTCATGCTGTGATGGGAGAAACCTTGCTTACGAGCAATTTATTGTCAATAGAAGTATATTGTTTATCCTATGACTATCTAATGTGATCTATTGTTATTGCAGTTACCATCCATACTGATGTTGTATGTGATCTGCTGTTTGATAAAGCAATGAAACTTGTCGAATTTGCCCCTCTCCGAGTTAAAGATTTGATACCATTATTGACAACAGCTTGGCTGCAGAATTCTAAAAATAAACATGAAGGTGCTCCGTAGATTGATTGGAGTCTTGATATGTTGAGATTGTGTTAGGCTGCTAGAAAGTACCATCGGAAATGAATCAGGAAGAGGCGTGGTATAATTGTTGAAATTTAAGCATGTAAGTGCTTAGCGATTCATGCAGTGATTTGTAGCTCCAGCAATCAGAAGAGTTTAAATGGTCTGTTCCTCTTGTCCAAGATTTCGTGATCTTGATTCGATAGGGTAGTTGAATCAGTTTTCGTATGCCTTCTAATCAACGCGTAGGTATCCTAACCTGGCGCGCTGTCCAAATTTTGTTTACGAGCATACCACATCATCTATCCTTGTGGATGTCTCTTATGTAAGACGAAAAATATTGGGCAAAGAAATAAAGTAATCAAGACAGCAAAAGAAAGCTTCAGCGAGAAAGACCTCAAATCCAAAAAAGTACGACCAGAGTAGTGGTGAGTTACTCTGTCATCCTGAATCAGTATTACTGACACACACATTAATGTATATATTAAAGTGCAATCATATGTATAAATAACATAAAATTGATATATATATATATATATATATATATATATATATATATATATATATATATATATAGGGTGAAGCTTTCGGGCATGAAATATTTTTTCGGTGCTGTGTATAAATCAATAACGTAAAATTGATATATACCTCATGTATAAATATACTTCATGCTCGGAAGTTTACCTGTGCACATCTTTCGGGCATGAAGTATTCTTTCATCTTTTTGAGTCTGGGTGAAGCTTTCCGCAAGATGTCATGGCGCTTTTCCATGCATCTCGGGTCATCCACTGGTTGCTTCAGGGTGCCCACCTAAACCATCCTTCACCTAGTAGTGTGTATTGAATTCTTGTCTCAAGTCTTGAAGTCTTATGTCCTAAAGATGCAATCCCTTGATGATGCCATCATGAAGTAGTCGTCATTGACGTAAAGTCGTCCATTCTCACACCACTCCCGAACACTTATACCAATCCTGTCTACTATAGCGTGGCATTAAAATAAATAACGTCCCGGGCTTGGTAACAGGGTGATGGGTTCCTACCTCATGCATAGTATTCAACTACACGGATTCAATATCACTAATGGAGGGATTGTTGCAAGGATGACACTAAAGGCAACAAAAACATAGGTATGAAAAGCATGGTCAAAGTGAAGTTGGCTGGTAAGTTGATGAAGATAATAATGCTCTCGAAAATAACTTGATACTATCCGTCACTCTGATGAAAATCTATATTAAACAGTCATAGCATTCATATAAGTAAACATAGCAGCAATCAATTTCTAACACTCATAATAAAAATCCACAAATAAAAGCAACAAAGAAATCCATAAGAAAACCAAATAATAGTAGCATAACAGTCGATGATCGCAACGCATAAGGAATCTGATGAAAGCTAACACCAATGGTGTCAACAGAGGGATTTCTTTGAGACGAACCTAGTGTAATTGGTTTCATCGTAAACAGAGCTCTGGTTCAAAAGTTATGATCAAATGAAGGTTTGAGATAAATTTGAAGTTGAATAAATTTGATTTGCTCAATCTCCAAAATCCACTTTTTATTGGAAAGTATATGCCACAAGGAGTATTTCGCAAAATGAATCACCTAAATCGGAATTACGGATCAGAAGTTATGGCATAACGAAGTTTAGATTTGAATTTGTTCAATTTCAAATTTCAAAATTTCAAAAATATTTTTGGTTGGGTTTACTGGATAGATGAGATCAATACGAACCAGTAGGAAAAATAATCAACTAATTTGGATCTGTAGAATATGATAAAGGAAAAATCAGAACATAATCTGAATTTGGAAGCGTTAAGTTTCGGTCGACCGTGGCAGAGGTGCCATGTTGTCACACCCACGATGTGGCTATATCTCCCACGTGTCGGAGCACGACTTAGAGCCATAACCGCATGGTAGGCATGTCACAAGAGGGGTAATCTTTACACATCTCATGTACTAAATAAGAAAGGGATAAAGAGTTGGCTTACAATCGCCACTTCACACAATACATAAATATAGCATACATCATCCAGAATACAATCAAGTCCTAATACGGAACCAACATAAATAAAGACAACCCCAAATGCTAGATCCCCGATCGCCCCAACTGGGCTCCTCTACTGATCATCCGGAAAAGAAACATAGTAGCGGCCCGAATCCTCGTCGAACTCCCACTTGAGTTCGGTAGCATCCCCTGTACTTGCATCATCGGCACCTGCATCTGTTTTGGAAGTATCTGTGAGTCACAGGGACTCAGCAATCTCACACCCTCGCGATCAAGACTATTTAAGCTTAAAGGTAGGAAAGGGGTAGTGAGGTGGAGCTGCAGCAAGCACTAACATATATGGTGGCTAACTTACGCAAAAAAGAGCGAGAAGAGAAGCAAAGCACGGTCGAGAAGCTAATAATGATCAAGAAGTGGTCCTGAAACTACTTACGTTCAAGCATAACACGAGACCGTGTTCTCTTCCCGGACTCCGCCGAAAAGAGACCATCACGGCTACACACGCGGTTGATTCATTTTAATTAAGTTAAGTTTCAAGTTCTCTACAACCGGACATTAACAAATTCCCATCTGCCCATAACCGCGGGCACGGCTTTCGAATGTTTAAAACCCTGCAGGGGTGTAGCAACTTAGCCCATCACAAGCTCTCACGGTCAACAAAGGATATTCCTTCTAGCGGGAAGACCCGATCAGTCTCGGAATCCCGGTTACAAGACATTTCAACAATGGTAAAACAAGACCAGAAAAGCCACCCGATGTGCCGACAAATACCAATAGGAGTCGCACGTATCTCGTTCTCAGGGCAACACCGGATGAGACTAGCTACGAGTAAAACTAAACCTCAAGTTTCCCTGAGGTGGCCCCACAGGCAGCTCGGTTCGGACCAACACTCAGTGGAGCACTGGCCGGGGGGGGGGGGGTTTAAAATAAGATGACCCTTGAGTCTGCAGAACCCAAGGGAAGGTATATGGTGGGAAGTAGGCAAATGGTAAAACCAAGGTTGGGCCTTGCTGGAGGAGTTTTATTCAAAGCGAACTGTCAAGGGGTTCCCATAACACCCAACCGCGTAAGGAACGCAAAATAAAGGAACATAACACCGGTATGACGGAAACTAGGGCGGCAAGAGTGGAACAAAACACCAGGCATAAGGCCGAGCCTTCCATCCTTTACCAAGTATATAGATGCATTAAAGTAAACAAAATATAATAATGATATCCCAACAAAAACCATGTTCCAACATGGAAAAAACTCCATCTTCACCTGCAACTAGCAACGCTATAAGAGGGGCTGAGCAAAGCGGTAACATAGCCAAACAACGATTTGCTAGGAAAGGTGGGTTAGAGGCTTGACATGGCAATATGGGAGGCATGATATAGCAAGTGGTAGGTATCGTGGCATAGCAATAGAGCGAACAACTAGCAAGCAAAGATAGAAGTGATTTCGAGGGTATGGTCATCTTGCCTGCAAAGTTCTCCGAGTTGACGAAAGCTTATCCTCGTAAGCGTACTCAACGGGTTTCTCGATCACGTATTCGTCTCCTGGCTCTACCCAAAGCAAGAACACAAGCAAAGGACCAACAATCAATCACGGTGCAATGCACAATCAACATGATGCAAAATATGACATGACATGCGAGATGTGATATGCAATGCATATGCATGCTTCGGAAGGGAAAGATTGAACCAGGCCTCAACTTGGCAAACCAAGTGTGCCGCTGGAAAGATGAGATGACTTCAGTCGAAATCGATATAAAGATCACCGAAATCGGATGCACGGTTTGCAAATGGCAAGCAAAACAATAATGGCACAATTCTGCGATTAACAGCATAATGCCATATAGAATGCAATAAGAAACTAAGCTACTGCACTCCAACAAAGCAACAAAACACATGGCAGCGATCTACTCAAGATGCTTGACAAAATATGAACACTGAGCTACGGCTAAATCACACAAGAGCAGGTTCAAACAAGCATGTCAAAAGTGCAAAAGATAACAACATCACAGGCTTGGTGAAAATAATAACATGTCAGGAATTAACATCAGAAAGCAATGTTTAAAGCAAGCAAACAACATGCTACAGGAACATATCATAGCAAACAAAGGCATGGCATGAATCTACTCAAAGCATATAACAAAAGTCCCTTAATGACCATAAGCCAAAAAGACACAGAAGATATGGTGGCACCCATGTAAACATAGCAAGTTTCGTTAACAGATTCAGACTTAACAGAAAACTAGGCATGACAAAATAGAGTTATGAAGTCATCTTTGCGAGCTCGATTCACTCAACATAAGGCATTGCATGACAAGATAAGCATAGCATCAACAAGATGTCATATTCATGAAGCTAACCCTGGCAAGAACAAGTTTATAGCATGCTTGGATCAACTACAACAACCATGGCAAAATTGATTAACATGTAAACAATCTGCCAGGAACATTTTATAGCAAAAGTAGAGCAAGATTAAGTCATGATAGGGCACTCCATAATTGCAAACAGGGGCATGGATGAATAGAGCACAACAATATGTTCAAATCATGCTTACTTAAGCACCTCAAATAAAGCATGTATCTCACTATAGCAACATGGTTGCATGGCATCAAAATAACGGCAGACAAAAGACTTAGTCAAAATCCTGAGATCCTGAAATC